CACGTCGAGGACCAGGGCTGCGGGCTTCGGGCTGGGATCCAGGCGGCGGGACCAGTTCGAGCTGTCTGAAGGCGGAGGTGAGCTCTCGAGGTGAGAGGCGCCAAGGTGGGCCATACCGTCTGTCGGCCGAGACCCCCAGATCTGCAGACCCCTCTCTCTAGCGGATTTGCAGCGGGAAGGTAGCTGCGGCAGCACTGGGGCTCCTACCCGGGCTTTGGGACCCCACAGGCACTGCGCGGAGCTCGGGAGAGCAGTGTGGGTTGGGCCCCGCCGCCCTTGGAGAGCCTGCTGTGCGGACCCGGTGCCTAGGCCTGAGGTGGAGGCGGGTTGAATGCAGGGGTTGAATGTTGGAAAGTGGCCCTGAGGTTCCAGATCTGTGGTCCCGGAAGGCGGAGAGTGGCCAGGGTGCCCTGGACCCAGGTTTCTGTCCATGAGGCCAGCTTGGGGGCCCATGTTGGGTGGAGTCTGGGCTCCCACAGGGAGCAAGCCTGAGTGGGGAGAGGTGAAAGGGAGGCAGAGCACGCTGACCCAGCATCCAGGGACAGCAGATGGCCCAAGAGCCGGGGTCGGTGAGGGAGGTCGAGGAGGTCTGTTCCAGAGGTGGAAGTACTTCATCACCCTGCCTGACACAGGTTGTTTGTGAACTGACTGCTGGTGGTGAAGACCCGAGGGCGTGGGGCAGGATGTATGGAAAGCAGAGTTGAGGACAGGGAGGGACCACGGGCAGCCTTTTCTGTCATCCCTGCCCTAGCACAGGAGGGACAGCCTCCTCATTCCACAATCACCCACTGGTCTCCTCTGTGCAGGGTGGGGCAGCCCTTTGGTGCCATTTCTGATCTGGCCCTTGGGCCCTGGTTGTTGGCCCAATCTGTGGCTGAGAAGAAATGTTTGTGGCCGTACTTGTCGGCTGATGGTCCTGCTCCCTTAGAGGACTGGCAGGGTACTGACAGGCGGTGGTGGACCAGAGAGGCAGGGGAACTAAAAGGATCCAGGTGGGCCCTTTGTCCTCACTGGGATCGGGTGAAGCCTTGAAATCCAGCAACACTACACATCTGCAGAGCCAGTAGTGCCCAGCCTCGACACCCCACCCCAAGAGAGCTCCTCAGAGAATTCTGTCAGGCAAAAAGTCCTAGGGCATTGTGAGCCTGGGGAGCTCACTGGGAAATCTGTGATTGTGCGTGGCCTACTTGGCCACACCTTTTCCTGGTCCCCAGTGCCTGAAGTCAAGGCCAGGGGTCAGGGGAATCTGAAGATTAACTGTCAATATGAAGCCAGGGGGTAGGGGTCAGTCCATGGATGGGGTTAAAGGTCTGTCTGTGAGTAGGAGGTCAGGATGGAGCCAGCCTCTGGCAAGCGCTTGCAGTCAGGAAATGGAGTTACTTTCCATGTAAATCAAACTGTCCCACCCAATTACTTTCAAACCCGTAGACATCAGCAGCCTAAAACTAGTGGACCTCTAGGGACGTGCCCACTTTCCCCATTTCCAGCTCTGGACACTGCCCAGACCTAATTTTGGGAGTGAGGTAGTCCTGAGCCCCATGGGCAGCACTCTTCGTCAGCTTTTTTGAGTGCAGGTGCTTGCTGAGGTGAGCAGGGCCCCACGGGTGTGTGTGCATGCTTCCTTGACTGTCACCCCCTTCTACCTTCACCTCTCCCGAAATTAGTGAGAAATTCTTTCTTATAACACAAATTGATTCTTCCTTCTGAAAAAACTCAAGATATGTAGAATAAAGTCCTCAGTAAGACTGAAAACTTCTAACAGGCAAAAGCACGGAATCTATATCATGAAAGAAAGAATAATGTTCACCTTGGCTTTATCAGCACCTTCCATATCTGGATTTGGTCCTCTTGTCCCCTGGGTCACCCATTTTATAGGAAAAGGCACTGAGGTGTGGAGAGGTGACATGATGCACTCACACTGGATGCCATAAATAAGCCCTTGACATCCCAAAGACCCTCTGCAGGAGCCCTCCTTGGCTTACACACTCAGGAGATAAGGTGACAAGCTGTGGAGAGCTGGGGAGATTATAGGCACATAGCTGGAACTGGAATCCAGTGCCGGCTCAGCCTTCTTTTCTTGGCAATGCTAGGTTGTTTCTCTTGCAGATCTAGTAGCCTTGGTCCGTAAAGATCTATTCATTCATTCACTCAATGAGCTGGTTCCTGCGCTTATCACAGAGGCTAGCATAAAAGACTAGGCTAGCCTAGTCCATGTGTGGTAAGGAATTAAGACATACAAATAGGGCTGCCAGCCCCTCCTTCGTGACCTGGATCCAGTGGTACGCTGGTGAAAGTTTTATAAGCAACTGGTTGAGAGGGGAAAAAAACATGGATTGTAGTCTTGTCAACTTTCATGGTGTAAATATTCCCATTGTGGCTGGTTTCAAGCTACCAACAGTGATATCGGTGAATGCAGAATTAGGAAGAGACAGTATTAGCTCTGGAGTGCTGCAGGGACCCAGCTGCAGCACACCACTCTGTCCTGAGCTGAGATTCTGTCCCTGACTCCCAAGAGCCCTGCTGACTCCCTCTATTTGATTTCCCTTTTTCTCAGCATCTTTTGGCTGCTATGCAAGTACCCACAGCCAGCCTGTGCCCTTCTCGTGATTTGATTCCTGGCATCCAGTTGTGTGCCTCCAGTGAAATGGGGGACAACAAGACTGCATGCATCTGGAAATTCCCATGGTGCTGGCCATGCAGGAGTGCCCTAAGCCTACAAGAGCATGTGGGAGTCTGGGTGTCTGACTGTGACAGGGTTGGGTTTGTGTGAACCATGCAGGAACAAAGGCATGTATGTGTGTATGCGCATGCCAGTGCCCTGCTCTGTGTCTGTCTGTGTTGTTAGCAGAGTTTCCTGATTGGGCTACCTGTTACAGAGAGGGAGTAGGTCCTGCCTTTGTTTAGGGAAGTGACCAGGCCCATAGATAAGGACAATGACATCCATGCTATGCAGACTGTTGAACCCAGGGACCTGCTTCACTTACAAGTTCTGATTCAGAGGGGTCAGGGAGCTGAGGTTTTGCATTCCTGACACGCTCCTGGGGGTGCCAGTGCTATGCCCTGAGACCGTGATTCGAGTCAAGTAACAAAGCTGTCAGGGTTTGCAAGATCCTGCCTATACCCTGGGCCCCAGAGCTTCAGAGGGACAAGCACTCCCTCCAGCCACTGTTCTCAGATCTGTTCCTTATCCCACCAAGTTTCTCCAGAAGTCTAGCACTGTTCTCTCACTCCCTGCTCACATCTCACCTGGGCTTATCTGCCTTGGGCTTTTAAGACAGTTGTTTTCAGTCTCATCTAATCGCTCCACACACACACACACACACCTTGATGGTACTGGGAATTGAACCCAGGGCCTCATGTGTGCTAGGCAAGTGCTCTACCACTGAGATATATCCCCAGTGCTTATTTAAAGTTTTATTTTGACATAGGGTCTTGCTAATTGCCCAAGGTGACTTCAGACTTGTGATCCTCCTGCCTCAGCACATGAGTAGCTGGGATTACAGGATTGAGCCACCATGCCCACCTCATCCAGGTTCACTCAATACTCTTATCAAGGTCTTCAGGAAACCTTCCCCTATTTGCCTTAACTGTTGCTTCTCTTCCCTTCCTTTCCCCTTTTTGTTCTTTTCTAGCCCCGCATGACAATGACTCCCAAATGCACCTCTCCAGCTCAGATCTCTCCCTAAACTCCAGATCACCTATCATCTGGCTGCTTGGAATATTCTCTTAGTTCCAACTCCAAACTGTACACTGTGCCCCTGCCAGCCTGTCCCTTCTCCAGTATTTTTCATCTCACCATCCATGTCCTCCTTTGAACCAAAGAACAGCACCTTGACATCTTCTCTGTAAGCCCCCATAGAGCTAATCTAATCAGCTCTGCTGATTTTAACTGCTGAGCCTCATATGTCTCTACTTTTGTCTCTAGCCCCACAGCCACCCGTATCACCGATTGGGCTTCTTGTAATCCATTCTTCCCAGGTAGCCAGAGGGGCATCTCAAAATGTAGGTCAAAGCTGAGTGTGGTGGCACACACCTATAATCCTAGTGTCCTGGGAAGCTGAGGGAGGAGGGTTGCAAGCTCAAGCCCAGCCTGGGGAGCCTAGCAATTTAGCAAGCACTTAGATCAATTTTTTTTTAAAATGTGTTTTTTTTTTATTTTTTATTTTTAAGGGCTAGGATTGTAGCTCAGTGGTGGAACATTTGCTTAGCATGTCTGAGACCCTGGGTTCAATTTCCAGGACCACCCACCCCAAAAGCAAATCGAGACATGCTCTACCCCTAACCTGCCACTATTTTTTTGGTACCGGGATCCAACTCGGGTCCTTGCACTTACGAGGCAGATGGTGGAATCACTGAGTAACCTGTCACTTCAAACCACTCAAGATTTGCTATTGCCCTTCATACAAAATCAAGTCTAATGGGGGGGGCAGCTGTTTCCATCTGTCCCATTCTCAGCCCTCAGTATTGTTTGTAACCCAGAAGTCACTTCCATGACTATCTGATGATGATGATTAGCTCATCCACCTGTCAGTGGGTCCCCAGGTCAGGGACGATGTCTCTAATTACTGATGTTCCTCACCTAGCGCCTGGCCAGCACCTGGCCTCAGAGGGCATTGAAGAGCCTACTGATTTCTACAAAGCAAAGTTATTTTTTGTATAAGCTGGGTTTGTGGGGCTGAGCTTTAGAGGAGACTAAGGAATTGCTGTACATTTAGTTAGACATGATAATGGGGTTGTAATGGTATCTTTGAAAATCTGCTGGAGGGACATATTGAAGAGTTTATATGTGAAACAATATGATGTCTGGAATTTGCTTCAAAGGACTCCAGCCAAAGGTAAATAAATAAACTAAATAGCATTTGGAGAAGGAACAAAGAAATAAGTAAACACTATTCTGCTTGTCTGTTCCTGTTGACAGCTACAGGGCCTGCGAGGATGCTGGCTGTCCCAGAGATGGGCCTTCAGGGGCTGTACATCGGTAAGACCCTGCCACTCTGCCCTGATCACCACCCTGCTCTCCTGCACCAGGGCCCACCAGCAGGCTGTGGCTCCTGAGAGCCGTTCTGGAAAAGCATGCTTGCATGTTCAGTGTGGTCTGTGTGCTCAGGATCGTGAATGTGGGTGTGTGCACACTTGCAGGGAGGGTGTTGTGCACAAATCTGTGTATTAAGTGTGTGTACAGGGTCTGCATGCACAGAGTAGGTCTGTTTGCAGGATCCCTGTGTGTACATGCACGTATTTAGGAAAGGTCCATGTGCACAGGACTGTAAGCATATGCGTTTTGTGCAGGGGTGTGTGCACAGGACCTGTAAGGGGTATGGTGTATAGGTAGGCCATGTGTGTACAACCTCTGTGCACATGCGTGTCTGGCCTGGCCTGGGAGCAGCTATGAACCTGGCAGGCCTGGGAGGCCACCAGGCTGGAGGGACACTCCTCAGGAAGTTCATTCACAAAGACCTGGTGGGCTGGCCCTTCCTTCCTGCCTTCCTTCCCAGGCTCAAGCCACAGCAACACAGCCGCTCAAGCTGCAGCTGGCGGCAGGGCTGAACTTGTTCTAGCTGCGTGGTGAGGGGTAGCCCCCAAAATGTGACAAGTGTGCCTCCCCTGCTCTCACTCAGACAGACTATGGCACTGTCCGAGTGCTTCCCAGAACCCCCTTTATTCCCAGTCCCTTGAACATGTTCCTGGGCTACCCCAAGGCCAGCAAGGGCTGGGGCCCTGCCGAGGGTCACATGCTAGCTGAGGTGTGTGTGAATTGGGGTGCAAGCAAGCAGACTTCCTAATGCTTGCACATCCTAGACTCAGAGCTGGGCTGAGGGAGGCACTGCCCAGGCAGCCAGCTGGGCCTGTCGATGGCCCTTGTGGGGGTGGGGAGGGGAGACTCCATCAAGGCCTGATTAGAACCATGTGCCTCGTCTTTAGGGTAGAGGGGAAGCAGCCCCACTCCTGAGCTGGCTGTCCCACCTCCCAGCCACTTGCGTCTGTAGCTTACTCTCCTATGTCTTCTCCACTCTCCATTCCCACCCCAGGAGCTTACCTGTCCCGTCTGTCCTGCCCTTTTGTCCCTGGACTCAGTCTCCCCAGCACACAATGCTTCTCTGTCTCCTCCCCTCCCCCACTGTATGTCTGAGGGGTGCTGGGGGGCAGTGAGCCGGGGCAGGGTTGCCTCAAACTGATAACAGGTCCTCAGTCCCTGCACTGCCCCTGCCTCAGCATGTCTTTCTCCCCCTGCCAGTTCCCCTGCTCGAGCAGGACTGATGGGGACCGTCCTGGCACCAGGCCTGGAGTCCCGCTGCCCTGATGGTGCCACGATGACTTGCCCTCTCTTCTCCACAGGCTCCAGCCCAGAGCGCTCCCCGGTGCCCAGCCCGCCTGGCTCCCCAACGACCCAGGAAAGCTGTAGCATTGCCCCCCTCACACCCTCACAGTCACCAGTAAGCCTAGAGGAGGGATTGGGGTAGGGATGACCTGGGTGAGGAGGGCTGTGCCTGGCCGAGGGTGGCTGGGCCTGGGCTGGGAAGGAGAAAAAGGCAGGAGTAGGGGCCGGCAGGCTTCTTGCCCTTGCACACTCAAGTCCCACACTCACCTGAAGGATTAGTCTTAGGTGGCTTTGACAGTAAGGTGACAATTCTACTAAGAAGATAAGCCCCATGTAACTAACTCCCTACCCTCCCGCTGCAGAATGACATCCTGGGGCCATGGTGACTGGCCTGGCTGGGGCAGGTGGTAGGGTAAGCACGTGGTTTTTCTAGGTCCATAGAGTGCTGGGGCCTCCCAGAGTTGCTTCCCCTTCTGCCTATGACAGCCTATTTTAATTCAAGCCATATTTGGGGGAAGGGAGGTGTGCTGTAAAAAGTACTTCGGAAACGACTGGCTTGATGTTTCCAGGACAGCCTCACACACACATGCACACACACGCTCCCTGGGCCACCCCGCTGGGATGGTCATGCCCTGGTGATCCAGCCTGGACATTGTTGTTCTTAGGAAGCCTGGGCCTAGCCTGGTAGAAGGCAGAGACCACGGCCTGGGCGAGGGGAGGACGGATCTCACCTCTCTGCCACGACAGGACAGTCTGGTTTGTGTCACTGTGGCCACAAAGAGCAGGAGGTAAAATACACACAGGTCCATGTACTATAAAGCTGCCCAGAGGAGCACAATTGTTCCCAGCTGGGCCCAGGCTGGAGGACACCTTGAAGTTGGGGGTGGGAGGGGAAGACGAGGCAGTCCAGGCAGAAGGTGGGCAGAGAACTAGAAGTAGGAAAGCAACTGTTAGAGCCCGAAACTGCTGGGGTACCTGGAGGGCTGGGGCTTTCTGAACAGTTGGCCTCTCCTGGGCCCAGGCTGGAGCCTGGGAGGGGAGGGGAACAGTTCCCCGCTGGAGATTGGCCACTTCCTGCTGGCTGCTCGCTGACTCCAGGTCTTGAATTTGCAGAAGCCAGAGGCCCGAGTTCCCCAGCAGGCCTCCTTCTCTGTGGTGGTCGCCATTGACTTCGGCACCACGTCCAGCGGCTATGCCTTCAGCTTTGCCAGTGACCCGGAGTCCATCCACATGATGAGGTGACGGTGGCTGGGCTGGAAGACTTGGGGTGGGACAGGCCTGCTACTGGAAATAGTCACAGAGGCATGGGGTCTCCTTAGAGCCCCTTCCATCCCCAGTCTGGGACTCCCCACTAGGACAAAACGTTGGAGGATGGGCCCTAGGTCTGGGCCCCCAGCCTCATTTGGAGTGCTCTCTCCCCCTGCAGACCAGGTCAGGCTTTACTTTTATTTGTTTGTGATGCTGTGGCTGGAATCCAGGGCCTAAAGCATGCTGGGCAAGTGCTCTACTACTGAGCTGTACCCCCACCCCATGGTTTTATTTATTTTAAATATTTGTCAGAATAACAAACATGCAATAAAATACACAGATCTTTTGGGGGGTTACACACAAACATGTGTGCATATGTGTGCTTTAAAAATAAAAATGGGCTATCATATAACTTGCTTTTTTATTTTTTTCGTATGGAATGCTTCATAAGGGCCTCAGCCAAAGCACGGGAGCCTTGCTAATCTCTGTATTGTTCCAATTTTAGTACATATACTGCCAAAGGGAGCATATAACTTATTTCAGACTTGCAATGCTGTTTGGTAGATGTTTTGTGTCCAGACATACACAGCTCCCACTTTCTTTGGACAGATGCCTCATATTCATTCCTAAGTACAGATGTGTCATACTGTAGCCCTTCCCCTCTTGGTAGTATTTTGGGTTTGTTTTCCTCTAATTTTTCACAAAAAGTGCTACAGTTAACGTCCTCTGAAAATTTCTGCTGGGATCTCTGTAGGATAGATTTCTAGAGGCAGATTTGTAGTTGTGACATGTCAAACTAAGAACAAGGAAATAAAGGTCTAAAGACTGACACATCACAGAATTGATATGAAGAGATGTTTGAAAACTTTCAACCTGAAGTTGGGTTTTGCTTGAACTCTCCTGTTTTAGTCCAGTTTTTGTTACTATAATGAAACACTGGATGCAGGCTACTTTGTAAAGACAAGAGGTTTACTCTGACTCAGAGTTCTGCAGGTCAAGGGGCTACATCTGGTGATAACTTTCTTGTAGGTAGAATCCCAGGGTGACGCAGGACATCACATGACAAGAGACAGGACTCTCTGTGTGTGTGTGTGTGTGTGTGTGTGTGTGTGTGTGTGTGCATCTGCCCAGTCTCTCACTCTTTTTTAAAAAAATTCTTCTAAAATTTTAATTTTTATCAGTACATGTTTGCCAGGGATGTAGCTCAGTGGTTCCATGCCTGCTTGTCAAGCACAAGGTCCTGAGTTCAATCCCAATACCAGGGGGGTAAAAAAGTATCAGTACATGTTTGTAGTATATAGTGATTACATTCATTGTGAGGAGTACATGTACATAACAAGTCTCAATTCTTATTATTTTCCCTTCTCCTCTCCTCCCTCCTCCATCTCTTGGTTCCCTTTCCATTTGTAAAAGATCTATCTCCCTGTTTCCTATTACCTATATTTTATCTTGCTCTTTATATTTTGGGTTTCTCATATAAGGGAAGCCATTTGATATTTACGCTTGTGTGTCTGATTTATTTCACTTAATATTGTGGTCTCAAGGTGCATCTGTTTTCCTACAAATGACTCAAATATATCCTTTATAGCTGAGTAGCATTCCATTGTGTCTAAATACCATTCTTCTGTTTATGGACACATCGGCCACTTCCAAGCTTCAGCTAGTGTGAGTCATGCTGCTGTAAACATAGGTATTCGCAGATGACTATAATTTGATGTCTGTAATTTGGGACCTCCCTCTTCTTACAAAGCTACCAGGATTCAGTAATAGAGGCTTCACCTTAATGACCTTACTTTAGTCCTATTCACTTTCCAAACACCTTGCCTCTAAACACTATAAATGGATTGTTTCTACCTTTTTAATACTGTGCAATTGGGGATTAATTTCCACACATGAAGACTTGGGGGGACCCAAACCATGTATATCCAAACTGTAATAACTCCCCTCTGGATTTCAAGACCCTGATTCTTTGAATGTGTCTTACTGTGGTTGCAGCCAGGAGGTGAAGCTACCACACTCTCAGCCCAGACCAGGATAGGAGATACAGGAGGCCTTACAAGGGGCTGGGAGGCTGATGGAAGAGGAATAGACAGAGACAGGTCACTGTCCCAGAGATACATGGCACTCGAACTTCAGGAGCTTAGCTTGATTTTTCCTTTTGTTGCAACCTGCACGTAACAAGAAGTCACAAAGCTTGTGGATACTCAGCCCTCTCGGAACTGCAGGGACTTCCAAATGGCACGATCCTCAGCATGCACAGCTGAGCCTGTGCCAGCCCCATGGTGGGACCAGGGACATATGAAGGAACCCATTTCCTGTCCTGTGGAAGTGACACTCAGAGAAAATAAGTGGAGAACATCTTGGCCTCCTCCCAATCCTGCCCTTCCACCAGCCGTCAAGCCCTGTTATTTCAGTGTCTCCTTAAAACCCCTCGAATACCCTTCCTCTTCTCTCCAAGGCCACCACCTTGCCTTGGTTCAGCCTTTCCCTCTCACTGGAAGTAGCTCCCTTCCTAGTTTACCTTCTCTGTCATCTCTTTCCTCTGGTCTATTCCATATGAGGACCAAGCAGCCTTTCTTTCCAAAGGCAAATGTGGTCCTGCGTCTTCACTCCTCTACTTAGAATCCACCAAAAAGGGCCAGGGATTTAGCTCAGTGGTGCTGCACCTGCCTCAAAAGTGCAAGGTCCTGAGTTTGATCCCCAGTACCAGAAAAAATAAATAAAATAAAATCTACCAAAATAGAATTCTGTTGTAGCGTTTGATATCTTTCATTCTCTGACCTTGGCATTCCAGTATTTTCTCCCGCTGTGTATTGAACCAATCCAGAGCTGGCTTCCCCTGTTCTTTCACGCTTCTGACCCTTTGCACTTGCTGTTCTTCTGCCTGAATTCCCAGTTCCTTCTCCCAAAGGGCTGCAGTGGTGAACCTAGTCTGAAGAGGACCAGGCATCTGAGGAGGCAAAGGAAGGAGGGAAGGATTTGCCAGGCTATGAAGTAGTCGTGAGTTCTGGGTGGACTTCGAGATGGCCCTGCAGACAAGAAGGTTCCAGATCTCATTTAGGTGCAGTCTTCTTGGGTGTAGCTGCTGAGGTGGATCAGACAGAGATGGTCATGAAAGACACTGAAGGAGCTTGGCCTTAGGGAACAGCTTCAAGGAGGGTAAAGTGGGGAGGGCTTCCGCTAAGGTCCTGGAGAGACACATCAGGAGGCCATGGACCATGCCAGTGGATGATGGCTTGCTGCTTTAAGGAGGGGTCAGATGGTGCCCCTGTACGGAAGGAACAGGGCTCAGACAGAACCAGTGGGCCCACGGCCAGAAAGACTAGCATTTGTGAAAATTCAGCTGGATACCATTTGCTTGTCAGGAGAACCCTAAAAGGTAGGTACTACTATTGTTCCCACTGTATAGATGAAAAGACTGAGGCTGGGGGAGGTTGTGTCTTGCCCAGGGTCACACAGCTGGCCCCAGAGTCAGCATTCAGCTTCATGAAGGGATGGCTGTTGCTGACCCCATTTCCCTGTGTCTCTGCAGGAAATGGGAGGGTGGGGACCCTGGCGTGGCCCACCAGAAGACCCCTACCTGCCTGCTGCTCACCCCGGAGGGTACCTTTCACAGTTTTGGCTACACCGCTCGTGATTACTACCACGACCTGGACCCGGAGGAGGCCCGAGACTGGCTCTACTTCGAGAAGTTCAAGATGAAGATCCACAGTGCCACTGTGAGCAATGTTCTGGCAGAGGTCCGTCCGGGGAGGCGGGGTCGAGATAGGCAGGACCGGCATTCATGGGGGGGCGGGGCACAGCCAAGAGTTAGAAGAGCCCAGTGGAGGCGGGGTTAAGAGGCGTGGCTACAGGCCAAGAACCCGGAGACTGATGGAAGCTCAAAAGCTGCGAGGGTGGTGCCGGGCGTGGTGGCACACACCTGTAATCCCAGCACTATAGGGAGGCTGATGCAGGAGGATCACTGTGAGTTCGAGACCAGACTGGGCTACATAGTTCCAGGTCAGTCTCAACTACATAGTGAGACCCTGTCACAAACAATAACAACAACAACAACAAAACCCCAAAAGTAGCGAGGGTGTAGCTCAAATGGGCAGGACCCAGAGTGAGGAAAGGCACTAGGGCTGGGAGACTGAAAATTGGGGCAAAAGAGGAGAAGCTCCAGGAGATGGAGTGATTTTTAAGGAGATCATTGGGGAATGGGGGCAGAGATATGACCTTTTCCAGAGACACCCCGTGTCCCTGCCAGGATCTCACCTTGAAGACCCAGCTAGAGGCGGTAAATGGAAAGAAGATGCCAGCTCTGGAGGTGTTCGCGCATGCCCTACGTTTCTTCAAGGAGCATGCCCTGCAGGTGTGCCGCTGCCTGCCCCTGCCTACTGGGCCAGCGACTCGTAGGCCCTCCTTACTCCTTTCCTCTCCCTCACCCCACTCCCTGTCCATGAGATGGGTAGTCACTGCCAGAAGTCATCACGGCCACCCCCACACACCCCTGGTGGAACCTCCCCGAGGCCATACAGGGGGAGGAAAGAAGTTCTTTCAACTCAGCTGGAAAGCCCTCCCTGAGGTCGATCAGTTCCTCCAGCTCCCCTCAGGGCTGAAGATGCCCCAACCCATCTGCTCCCTCCATTTTAGTTACTTCTGTCATTACTAAGACAAAATACTCAACACCCACAAGTTAAGGGAAGAAAGATTTATTTAGCTCACAGTTTGCAGAGGTTTCGGTCCATAATCAGCTGGCTCCAAGGTAGGGTGGCGTGGTAGACAGGGATCACAGAAGGGAAACAGTTCATGGCAGGCAGTAGGTAGCAATGCAGGCAAGCAAGGGGCGATCACAGCTCTTCCTACCCCTTATCTTTTCCAGGCTACTTATAGCAGATAGTACTCATACCCTTAATGCTAGTGCCCTTGATCCTACCATTGAAGCTCAAATCAATCCTAGCATCACACACTCTAGATCCAGTCAACTCAGAAAAAGCCCCACCTACGACTGCATGAGGCTTTGGAGGAACATCTGGACTCAAGCCATAACACCTCCCTGCCCTCTCCTGCTGCAGGAGCTGAGGGAGCAGTGCCCATCACTGCCAGAGAAGGACACTGTGCGCTGGGTGTTGACAGTGCCTGCCATTTGGAAACAGCCAGCCAAGCAGTTTATGCGGGAGGCCGCCTACCTGGTGAGCATACTCGGGTGAGGGCCCTGGGGGTGGCCATACCCTCATCTCCTACCAGTCAGGGACCATAAAGACCTCTAGCCTTCTCCCACTGGAATTTTGGAGGATTGTTGCCACCAAGAGAGGAAGTGGGTCTTGTCAGATGGACAAGAGGCACAGTCCAGACCAGTGAGACATCATCTTAGGTGGGGTTTCCTAGAAGCACAGCCCAACATGTAGTTGTATGAGCATTGTCTATTGAAGACAGGCTCTCAGATGAAGAGGCAAGGAGGAAGCAAGAAAGGAGAGAGAGCTGAGCAAGGTGTGGTCCCCTTAGAGTGTAGCATCATCCTGGTCCTTTGGGGAGCTCCTGAGGGAGAACCGAGAAGCACTGAGTTGGCCACAGTAAGGCAAGGGTCCATCTCAGTCTGCCACTGGTTTTAGGGGAAGTGGGAGGGACACCTGTCCAAGTGAGGTGGGTCCCCTTCAGCTGAGGGCAGCTGTAAGTAACAGCAGCTGATATCGCAGCAGGCCAGGTACTGAGGATACCCATTTTGACTAGTATCCATGCTTTAAGGACACCCCCACCTCGTCCCCCACCACTGTGGGTTCCTGAACAAAGGGAAAGGATTCTGGCCAGTATATGGCATCTTCCTACTCAAGATTCATGGAAGTCTGTAGGAAGAGGGCTGGGGCTCAATCACTACCCATTCCATTGGAGCTAGAAAGAAGGCATAGCCTCAGAGAGATTCATTGGCTCTGCCCCTGGGGCCTTTGGGGACAGTAGTGGACCTATGGCATGCATGTTGCAGCGGGTTGTTTGTATCGTTAGAAACTTTAAAAGGTTTGCTATCATTGTCCTAGGACATCTCCAGCCCATCTGTGCCCCCCAGGGGGATTCCAGGGCCCCCAACACTTACATACTTATGGTCCAGGCATGACCCAGGGCCAGGTCTGTACAGTATATTGCTTGTTCATGGAAGGAGCTGGCCCTATGTAGAGTGGCATTCCCCTGCAGAGCCCAGGGTAAAAGCAGAGCTGTCCCAGGTGGAATATATGTGACCCACCTAGTGTCCCCTAGCCTGTTTACCTGCCCTGCTTCTTCCCACACTATTCTCTGCTCTCAGCTCCAGAAGGGCTGGCTCTGGGCAGGAAATCCCCATCACCACCCATCTGCCTCTGCTGTACCTGGTCTGACTCTAGGAAACCCTGCAAACACTGAAATACTTCAAAAGGGATTCCCTGCCTCTGTTCAGGAAATACCAGCTCCCAAGAATCCCTCCTGCAACCCCACCCTGCAATGGGCCTGTCTTGGTGCCTGGAATTTCACTGTTTCCTTCCTGCTATAGCAGATTCTCAGGAACAAAGTTCTCCTGGGAGTGGGGCGGCCTGTGGCCAGTGTCTGACACCAACCTGGTGAGCCCAGTGGAGCCCCTGCCATCTCCTCTGATTGGCCACACCCTACACTGTGCTCGAATCTCTGCTAACACAGCAGTCAGTGCATAGCTGGCCAGCCCTGCTCCTGTGAGGGGACCTTGCTGCAGCCCCATCGTCTTTTCCTGCTGTTGACCCTTTGGCCCCTTCAGCCATGCCATGGCCCTCCCCTGCCTGGTCACAGGGCGGCTGTGAGGCTGCTCCAAATTTGCACAGCATGAAGGGGCCTGAGGGACCTAGCATGGGTGGGGTGTGACAAGTGACGGGGAGGAGTTGGGAGCCCCCAGGCCCTGGGATGCCATCTTAGATCTGAGAGCCTCTGGTGCTGCCCACTACCTACCCCCAGGCCGGCCTGGTGTCTCGAATGAATGCAGAACAGCTACTCATAGCGTTGGAGCCTGAAGCCGCCTCTGTCTACTGCCGGAAGCTGCGGCTGCACCAACTCATGGACCTGAGTAGCAGAGCCCCAAGTGGTGGGCGACTGGGCGAGCGCCGCTCCATCGACTCCAGCTTCCGGCAGGGTGAGCTGCCCCAGGAATACTGCCCAGGGCCCCAGGGACACCGCCCAGAGGGGAGCCTAGAGGCAATTGGCCTTGCAGGGGCTAGAGGCTCAGCCAAGTCCAGGTCGTAGGGGAGAGAGCCCCATCTGAGGCCAGCAACATCCCTGGTGTAAGGAGGCATACCCCTGCTCAGGGGACCTTGGGATGGAGGAGCAAAACACAGTCTTGACCTGAGATGCCCCATCTTAGGGCAGAGATTTCGTCTTGCTTAGGGTAGCCCCACCTGAGGGTAGGGAAGACTCAGTCACCCTAGGGTGAGGTGCTGAGCTGGGCACTGACAAAGGAGGAAGTCAGACTGTACTCCCATCTGCCCTTAAACAGTGGCTGCATCAGCTGATGTCCTCCACAGGCCCTATCCCTCTGTCTCCCCCAGCCCCACACTCTTGCTGCCAGGACCAGGCATAGAGGGCAAAGACAGCGGTGAACAACCTTGAGTATCTTCCCAAATGCTATTTCCCATGACTGGAGCCCCAAAGTCTAGCTCCCCTAGGATACCTGGGGCTTCCCCACCCCACCCAGCTGATCCAAACCCTCCTAAGGTTGATTTTGCTGAGGCCTGATCTCTGCTGGGTTAAGTGAAGCTCCTTTGTCCAGAAATATCTCCTCCCAACTGTTAAGATACAATACCCAGGTTTTGGGGTGATCACTGCCTTCCTAACTGGCATAGGCGTTTCAGGGGCACTGGCTGCTCCAGGTGAATGTGAATGTGGTAGTTCCTGACCTCACTGTCCTGTTGCCCCCAACTCCAGCCCGTGAGCAACTGCGAAGGTCCCGCCACAGCCGCACGTTCCTGGTGGAGTCGGGAGTGGGAGAGCTGTGGGCAGAGATGCAAGCAGGTGGGAGAGGGGGTGTGGTTTTTCCAACCCTGCTGGGAACCATATACTGATGGGGCACATTGCCTAAGCCCACCCCTTCCATCACAGTACCCAACCTGGAAGTTCCCTGTCACCCCCATCCCCACCTCACTCACCCACACCCCTATCTCCCACTCCTTTGAGGGATTCCCTGGACACGGGGGGTGGCTTGAGAACCTCTGGAGCCATTTCTCTTCCCACACGCCACTTCTGTTTGGTGGCCTGTGGAGCAAGCGCAAGGGTGCACAATACTCACACACACACACACACACACACACACACACACACACACACACACAAACAACA